AATTTTATCACCCCAGGTGCCACCCCACCATAAACCAAAGAAGGGAAACGTGAAAGGGGCATGGAGGGAAGAGTGCATGGCACGTCCAGTGCAGACACGATGCTCAGAGACCCATTCTAGGGACAAGGGCACACAAGCAGAAGAACCGCCCATGCCCCCCGACCCCCTGGGAAGCCTTCACGCACCCCAGCCCGGAAACTACTGCCGGGCAACATCCTGGAGTCACTCTTTCTGCTTTGTAAAGGGCAACTCTCCCCAGTTCCCTCAAAGCCTCAGGAGCTGAGTTTTAGTCCTAGCTCTTCATCCCTGCAGAATCCTTCATTATCAGCATTCAGGGAAAGTATCAACAACCTCGGAGAGTCATTTTTCTCTCGCTCCAAAATACGTGGCAGGCCCCTGCCTGCGGTGGCACAGGGCATCGGCAGTAAGAACCCTGGCCCTCACCTCCACCTGGCACAGGCACCTCTCAGCCCTCTTTTCTCTTTTAAAATCTCGAATTGAAAAAAAAAAAAACTTTCCTCTTCACTGTTTTTTCTCCTTTTCTTTGCCTTCTACTCCAAGTGTTCAAACAAAACTCAGAAAGGACCACAGAAGTAGAAGTACTCAATTCCAATCTTCCTGCAAATAATTCATTTGACAGAAAACCTGAGACACTTGCTTGCCCTACAAGCCCATCAGCATGAAATCAGGGAGTCTGGTACTATCTAAAAAGGGGGCACACAAATGTCAAAGACAGTCAGGGCCTGAGGGCTGGCTGCTTGTTTCGAAGACGAGTCATCGCAGCCCAGCCATGCTCATCAGTTCACATATTGGCTGTGGCCGCTCTCCGGCTCTAGTGGCAGAGGTGGTGGGTGGGATGGAGAGCGTATGGCCTATGAGGCTAGAAAGTTTACTATCTGGTCCTTTAAGAAAAAGCTTGCCAACCCTAAGTACAGATTAAATTTAAATTTACACCTCTAAACTACTTAGCTTAACTTATTCTCTTAAATTTGGAGCTTACTTTTCATAAAGTGTTCTAAATGCTTATCACAGGATACCAGGAAGGGGAACTTAAGCATCAAGTGCTTGTTCAGCCACTATATAAGGCAGGCAGAGAAACAGGACCATCTCCGATCACAGCATGGAGGACTGAGCAGGAGGGAAATGACAGGCCCTGGTATCTGCCGAACAAAGCGGATGGTACGTGCCTCAGGAGGGGGGCGAATGAACCACTTCAGAAGTTCAGAGCAGAATGTCATTACTGTTCCCGGATGAGATGGGTATGTGAAAAAGGGAGGGAAGAAGGAGAACAGGGGACCAGAGAAGACAAAGAAGCTAGTGCTGCACTTTTAAATAGACCTGAGTGGGGCACTGAAGAAAGGTAAAAGATGAGGATGAGGGCAGGTGTCCATGAGGAAGTCCAATCAATTCCGAGACCCAGTGGCTGAACAGAAGTGGGCCAGTAATGAGCCAGGATGGGGACGTATTTCAGGAAGAGCAGACGGAAGAAACGGTGACCAGGCTGCTGCAGAATGCAGGGCAGTGGTGCGAGACTAGAAGGGCAGGCAGGCAAGGGCCAGGTTAGTGTAGGCCAGACCCCTGGTTATCAGAAGCTGCCACAGCTCTTGGAACAGAGAAATGGAACTGGTCAGACTGGCTCCAACTACAGCATAAAGAAAGTACTGAATGAAAAAGCTGTCAAGCCGAGTGACAAGGAGAGAGATTCTCCGACTTGTAGGGAAGATCTCTGAGCCTGTTAGAAAGTGTGAGTTCCAAGACTGAAGATGCTCAGAAGTCACAATGAGCTGACCTGTGGCTGAAGGGCAGTGAGATGACCGCTCTCCCCAGGTCAGGGCAGCAAGGCGGGCTCTGAGAGCTGAGGGCTAAACTCCTGTCCCTGGGCTCAGGGACCTATCTTTTCCCTTGTTCTACCATCTAGCACTTAAAAAAATCCTCCCATTCATATACCTGTTTGCAAATCTCAATGCCTCAAATAAACCCTATATTAAGGTTCTTTCCGGCTGATGTGAGCTGAAGTACTTTTAAACAGTAACACCAAGTAACACCTCCAAAAATGTCTGGGGGACTGAACTTTGACCTCCTAAAGGTTAAAGAACTGGCGGCTTCACAGAGAAGTTAGAAAGTTCATATTGCTAAAGTGATCTGGTGAACTGCTGTCAAAAAAATCCCAAGCCAAACCAAACAAACACGAAACTGTAAAGCCTTGGAAGTCGCAATGGCTGAGGAAAGTGCTGGATATGCCTGCTTGCTGTTCGTCTCTGCTTTTCTAAACTTTCAGCTCACAAACAGCAAGACTGTGGCCCTTAGAAAGTTGCCAAGTAAACGTGAGCATCACTTTCCTTAATGGGAGCTGTTTATTTACATATTTCTTCACGAGAACAGAACTGGCCCAGGGACCTTACCCTGGTCGGAAGACAACTGACAATGGCCCAGGGGGCTCCCGAGGCTGCACAGCAACTCTCAAATTCCACACTGGAGACCAACGTGTAGAAAGACAAACTGCGGCAATTCCGTTATCAGAGGATTAACTTTATCAAACTGTAATGCACAATGTAAAAAGCCTGAGGCAAACTTCTTTTCTTCAAATACGGTCTGTTATTACGTAAGACAGGAGACATGGCTGATAGAGAAAGTTTCTTAGTTCATTCCTACTGTAAGTAGGGTTAATACTTAGAAGGATCTAAAAGAAAAAACATGACCATTTTCTGATTACAAGAACTCAGTCTCTCAACTGCGGACATGCAAGAAATAATGGTTCTTCTACAAGTAGAGATTTTACAGCATCTTACTAAGCAGATGGACAGTGACTGTGAAGGGGTATGTGGGGGGGACTTGGTGAAGGGGGGAGCCTAGTAAACATAATGTTCTTCATGTAATTGTAGATTAATGATACCAAAATATAAAAAAAATAAAGGTGTTATTTTAGAAAATTGGCGCAATAAATATGCTTTAGTTGCTATGCAAAAAAAAAATAATAATGGTTCTTCTAAAAGAGGTGAAAATATACAACATACTAATGAAGTGGAGTTCTCAATGAGGTTCTGGACTTACTGATGACAGACTGCCCTACTACGTCTGCCTGTCCCCTTGGTCTCTCTATAATTAATTTAAGTTCAGAGCCTTTCACGAATTTCTTTTAAATGGGTGTACAAAGGGAGAAAAAAGTGCAAAATGCCGGGGGTTTTCATTTGCAAATATTTGGGCATTCTTTATGCAAAGGACACTGCAAATACCTATTTGCTGTATGCATGTCTCAGAGTCAGCTCCACACAGTAGGTGAAAACAAGGCTGAGAGCTGTGAAATGTATTGATTTTGATTTCTGGAAACAGTGCGCTAGACACTGTCCATTAAAGACGCATGTGCTCAGAGCCAGACAAATTAGTTTTATTTTTATATTAATGTTCCATAAGAACAGAAGCTGGGAGGAGTGAGGGGGACAAAGGGGCACAAAAATTCTCTATCATTATGTATGTTGGTCACAGGGATAGTAGTACAACATGGAGAATACAGTCAATGATTCTGTAACATCCTTATGCTGACAGATAGTAACTGCATTAGCGGAGGGGGTGAGGATTTAATATGGGTAACTGTTGAGCCACTGTGTTTTATATTTGAAACCAATGTAAGATTGTATATCATCGATACTTAAAAAGAACAGAAGCATAACTACACATAATATAAATTATTATATTATACACATTAATATAAAAATAAAACTAATTTGTCTGGCACTGAAAAAGTAAAAAGGTTACTTAGCATTAGAGCTTTTCACTAAGGTAAAATGCAGACAATGCCATCAGTCATATCTGGTCTAAGAAATCACTAACATGAGTCAAATACAAAAAGATCACAGTTTTCCAGTTTGAAGTAGCAGTTTAAATGGTCACCATAGTTCCAATGGCCCTGGGGAAGATTTTCTGCATGTGTGTCATCATAACAGTTTTTTTTTTAAATAGACAAGAACTTTTACACCCCAATGAGGGCTATAGCCTTAAAATCTTTAGTGTGAAGCTATACAATTATTCCGAAAAGGCTAACATCTAAAAACAATGGTGATCTCCTCTTTCAGAATCCCCAGAGATGAGAATTATTCATGACAAGTTACATTTTTTTCCCACATACATAAAAATGTGTACTTTTCTTGGAAAAAGAGATTACACAACATACACTATTGTACGCCTTGATTTTTTCCTCTTAGTAATACACCACAGAAATGTGGACACACGCACAGGGCTGAGTGCATGCAGATCGATAGAGAAGGGGAGAGAAGACACTGGTCCAGCCACCAAGTACATATTCATGAACCACACAGAATATTTCAGATTCTTTTTTATAGTCATACTTTACGGGAGACAAAATCTGAGAAAGGAAATCTAAGCTCTCTGTAGAAACACCTCTGATAGGTACTCTTTGCCAAGGTGCCGGTGACAGACACCTCCAGGTGGTCTCCAGTTCTTTTGGGGATAGGGAATATAAAACAACAGAATAACAACTGAATGAAAGAAAAATGGATGCTTCTTGGAAAGAGTCTGTCATAAATGGGATTGGTGAAAAACCTGGCAAACAGACTATAGAAAGGTCACCAGCCCCATTCCCTTTCTTTGAGGTCCAGATGTAGCTGTTAACTTCTTCAGAGCTATGCACCAAACCTTAATTTTTCTTTGGAAAAATGTAAGAACTTCATTTCCCACACACGTGCCAGAAGAATGAGGACACACAAGCAAAACTCCAATCGGTCGCATTACTTCCAAGCTGTCACTCAAAGGCCAAGTCTTTACCTTAGAGCTCAGCTGAAAGGATTCCTGTATTATCAAGGCAAATAAGAACTCAAATGCTACAGAATTGCTGAGAAAAATCACCCCAAGTACTTCCTCTCAATCATTCCTCTTCAGAGAGTGACGCTAGAGATAGCAGTTAAGGAAACGGCTGACAGACTCCAACGTCACTGGCAGGTTCACTACCTACCACCTGAAAGGCAAACATATTTACAGCAGCTTACCTCCATCATCCACAGGCCGCTTTTGTACTCCATATCCATACACTGAGGGGTCCACTAGAGGTGCGGAATTATTCAAGTGAGGAATTGAATCAATTTTAGCAGCAATCTACAGAGAGAATCAGATTTAAATACTCAGTAACAAGTCGTGGCTCCACTCAGGGGAGAAAGACAAGAGTCCTCTTTAAAGGGTTTTTTATCCCCCATTTCTCCCCAACCTAGATTAACGTAAAAGCAGTGTCATGACAGAATATGCCCCTTTCACTGTTAACTGAGTTTTCTTTTGGCCTTAATAATAATGTCTTTAGAAATAAAATACTTCCCAAAATTTGCATTTTAAGAAAAAAAACAAACAGGCCAACAACATGAAGAACTTTGTTCAAAAGGTTTTATCACAGGAATCCCTTAAGAAACAAATTCTGCAATAATATTTAAAAGGCCGTGTTTGCTCAATAGCAACCACTCTGGGAATGTATCCATCCTATCAACTTCAGCATCTATGCAGCAATGATGTTTATCTATGAAGCTAAAAACAATAAGCTGCTCTTCATTGGAAATGTCCAAACAGCAGAGGGATGACGATCTGTCCAGATTATTTCAGAACAATTCCTGCACTGGAGTAAGTGATATAACCTCTGAAAGCTACTTTAACTTTCAATATTTATTATCAGTTAAAGAATGAAACATACCTACTAAAATGCTTTCTCCCAGAAATAAATGCTATGTAGAACTTATCTATTTTGTTCTCATTCGAAATTAAATGTGATCTTCATAATAAAGCAACTTTTATTTGATCGAAGGAACATTATGACACTTGCTCTTGATGTTCGTCACTAAGTTAAGTTTAATGAGCAGTAGTGGACCAAGGGGCAGCTAGCACAGCTGTCCACAGAGCAAACTCTTTAGTGGCAGTTCTCTGAGCTTGTCCAAGTGGGCCCAAATGTGCTTCTGGGACCAACATAAAGATAAATTACACAGAACAAATAAACAACTAAAGACAATCAAGATACTGAAAACCCACAGCAGGATTTCAGTGTCAGGTATCCCGGGGTCAGGTCTCATTCCTTCCATTCTCCAGTTTGTGATGTTGCACAAGTCCCCTTCCTCTGCATAAAAACCCTCTAGGTTTAATACTACCTGCTTCATGGTTTTTGAGAAGTTAACATACTCTGAACAGACAGGAGCTCGGTAAAACTAGAAAGCACTTCACAAATACCAGAGGTTTAAACAAGGCAATTCACCCGACATACGCTGTGTGCCTACATGATGGGCTCCATTCCAGGCACTGGGGTTCCTGCTGGGAACAAGAATTAGCAGGCCCCTACTCTCTCAGTCAGCAGTCTCTGGGGAGTCACAGGTACACAAGCAGCCAATAAACTGATCACTTCAGCCACTGATCAGCATTATGCTAATAAGATGATGACACACAGAGAGCATTTAGAGTGTTCCAAGTGGGGAAGAGCCAGTTCCCCAGGGCTTTAGTTCACAGTAGGGGCTTGGATTTTACAGGAAGGGTGACGGGAAGCAGTTATAAGGCTGAGTGAGGGGAGTCACATGCTGATTTGTTTTTAAAAGATCCTCTTGACAAGGAGAATAAATTCTACGGGGATGAGAGCAGGAATATCATTGAGGAGATATTCTAGGCCGGGGGGGGTTCAGTAAACTTGGTAAATAAAGTTTTTTAGAACATAGCCACATGGATTTGTTTTTGCTGAGGAACTGCACTGACCATATGGTGTGTAATGCTCATATATATTATTTACTATCTGGATCTTGAAGTCTGCCGATCCGTGTCTAGGCTAGATATGATGGCAGCCTGAATAGGTACTTGTTTAAAGACATTAAGTTAATAATTACAATACTAAGACTGCTGACAGAAACTCCCAAGTCTCAGGGCAAGAGGCCATTTGCTGTGACACAAAATACTGTATCAATCCTACCTCACAGTGTTCTACCACCGACGTGCAATCTTGCTCTCTATATTTGTTTTGGATAAGCTTGAGGAGGTTGTCTACTTACTTAAGATGCAAAAGTGACCTTTAAGGACTCAGCTGGTAAAGCAGGTGGATTAAAAGGTGAGAACACTGCTGTGGCTTGTGCCCCACAGAGGCCCATTCACTTGCCACACCTAAGCAGTAAATGGCTGATGTGGGGGTTTTCAAGATTACTGGCTGCGCTGTTTTTAAAAGATGGACCTAAATGTTCCCAGCAGTGAAGATGACCCCAAAACACAAAAGAAAGAGGCTAAGATTATCAATGGAGTCCCCCCAACCGCATGCTTCTCAAGTCACTCTCTAAGACAGGACTACAAACATTATCTCTACACATCAGCCACTTGCCCTGCTCCCTTCTGGCTGACGACTGGCGCTTGGCTTCCAGATCTTTTTCCTTCCTTCCAAACTAGCTACAATGTTAATCCTGAGTCCTTGGTCTTTCTTGTAATTTACATAGTATGTTTCATGTTGGTGCAGTGCCTTTTTTTTTTCCCTAAAAGATATGCTAAAAGTGTTACAATAGTTTCCTGTTCCTAATTTTGACTAAATAAGCATGCTTCTAAAATGTGGCTGAGGCTTTCAGATTTGTTCTTAAGTCATGTTTGCTTCAGTTATCTATAATTTGGGAAATTTCCACTAAAAGAGAAGCGGTACAGAATACTGGTTAAGCGTGTAGCTCTGAAGTCAATAGACTACATATGAATCCAGGGTAAACCAATGTCAGATATGAGTTTAACATTGTAATCTACAATTACAGAACTCATTGATATTACATTGTACAGTATAATATACTGTGAAGAAAGTGTATTCCTTTACTCATACAAGGGCAACCTTGTTTCAAGAAATGATTTAAAATGTCTACTAAAATGGTAAGAGCTAAAATACAGTCAGTGCTTACTATGTGTTAGGCACTCCAAGAGCATTTTAAATACGCTATCTCATTTATTTCTCTTGATGATTCTCTAGGAGACTGGTATTATTATTTTTCATTTTAAGACAAGGAAAAGTGAGGCTCAGAGAAGCTGAGTGACCTGCCCAAAGCCACATATTCTGTAAGTGGCAGAAGTAGTGCTTAAGCCCAGGCACACCTGAATCCAGTCTATGCTGTTAACCACAGCACCAGGCTACCTCACTTTCCTCCACCTAATACTTCCCTAAACATTTTACCAGCGATTGCCAGTGCAGAGAGTCCAAGCAATTCCTCAAATTATAACTGATCATTCTGAATAGTAGCTGCTTAAGGTAAGTGAGGTCCATTTTCAGTGAATCATGGTGTTAGCCAGAAAATTAGAGAGTCACTGAAGCCAGGATGCTCCTGCAAACCAAGGCCACTCCCATCCTTATCTGAGGACCTGAGGGGACTCTGCTACAGATTTCCTCCCACTTGATTTCCTTTTCCCCTTTTTGGGGGGAGGTGGGGAGGAGAATGGCTTTTCTCACTACCTGTGCTATTTTAAGCATACTAATAGATGAAATATATATTGGCGTCACAAACATCTATCCCCCACTGCCAGCAGTTAGTGGAAATGAGGAGGGGAGCACTAGCCCAGGAGTCAGTCCGGAGTTTTCTAGCCAGCTCTTCCAGAGTGTCTGGGCAAGACCTTTGGAGGCCCTGCTCTCTGGGGTACTCGCCTGTAAAATGCAGGGGTGGACTAAGCCAATGTTCTCCAGAGGAGACAAAAGGCAAATTTGGGAAGTGCATGAACATGTGTGTGTGCGCATGCGTGTGCACCACTGTGTGTGCGCATGTGTGACACACACGTTCTTAGTTATCTTCCATGTATGGCAACATTTTTCACTTATGATAATGATTGTTTCCTTTTAAAGTTACTTATATCTAAATTTAAAAATGATTTTAAAATATTAATAGAATATTGAGGGTTCACTAAGACAAAAATCATCAAGGTGGTACACAATTCGCTAGTTAGGAAACATGGCAGTTACTTATTCCCAGTGCACATTTCCATGACTAAAATTCTGATGACAGGTTTCATTAAAAAGTAGTTCATTTTGTAGTATAAACAGAAATAGGAAACCGTGAAGATCTCCACAACTTCACACTTATGACATTGTACTAAATGGATACAGGCAAAGCCGCCCGAATGCAAGTCAGCCACACACTGGGTCCAGGCTGTTAAATACAGTTCGAGGTGGTTTCACATGGACCCAGCAAGCAGTGGTGAAAGCTCACACCACCACCCTGGGAGAACCCTAACTTGCCTCCCAGGGACCCAGAGCAGCCCTGCCTGGGCCCTGGAGGGTATAGGGCTGGACGCAAGTCTCTGCTCTCTAAGCAGGAAGAAACTGTGTGGCCAGAGCAGGGGAGCGAGGGACTAAGAGCATGTTCCCAAGGGGCGTGGTGCTCAGGAGCCACTTCTGCTGCTGCATCCCACCACCTAAAGGTCACAGTGACAATAGGAGTGTATTGGGCTTACTAAGTGCTTGACAGAGTCCTCATTTTTATAAAGTAGCCACTGTTCTCATTACTGTGGGCCTGGAACTGTATCCATGGGGATAATGAAATAACAACGTAAAGCATGGAGAACAATGGCCACATGGTAAGGAACAAGAAATGTTCACTATTTTAACCTATTATTGAACAGTAATAATACAGCAAAGTACATGGGTCATTAAGCTTCTAGCTCATAGAATTTTCCATACTAAAATGCCTGTGTAACTAGCATCCAGAGAGAGAAACAGACTATTACCTGTACCCCCAGACGCCTGCCTCATGGCCCCTTCAGTCACTACCCACCTCCACCTCCCAAGGGTAACCTCCTAACTTCTAATATTAGCTAACATTAAAAAAAAAAATTGATTACTATCATCAACGATTTCCATTTCACAGATGAGGAAATTGAGGCTTAAATAAGTTAGAAAACTTGTCTAGTCACTAAGCTAGTAAGTGGTGGAATCATAACTTGAACTCATCTGTCTGAATCCGGTCTTAATAACCACTTCACTCTACAGCACTACGCACAGGGGTTTCACTGCAAGGCCCCCAGTGGAGGCCTGAAACTGCAGATAGTACCAAACCCCCAACACAGTACGTTTTCCCCTACACACACACACGCCTACAATACAGCTTAACTTACACACGAGGCACAGCAAGAGGTTACCACCACCACCAAGGAGCAAGTGTAACAGTACCCTGCGCTAAAAGCCACGTTAGCGTGGGCTCGCTCATGCTCACGGAATACCGCACTGTTCCACACTCACCCTTCTGTGACGATGGGGATGATAAAAGGCCGTAGTGGTGAGAGGACATGAGGGGAATGGCGTGGGTGCTCTGACGTAGCATGAGGCTACTACTGACCTTCTGATGATCATCTGCTTGTGCGGCTGACTGCGGGTAACTGAAACCGCAGAAAGGGGCCTACTGTACGGCCCCTGGGGATTTTGTGACCATCAAATGAGAGAACATATATGAAAAGTCCTTGCCTGGCACCCAGCACAATGTGGACTCGATAAACAGTAGCTATTGTTGTCATTAGAGATGGGGCCCTGGCTGATTCTGCCGTATTTACTGGCATTAACCAACACAAGGAATTCTATAAGCCAATCGAATAAGACACAGCTCTTCTTGGTAACTTTCCCAACAACTTTATGCCACCCACCTTTGGGGAGAATGACGTTTGTTTCTCTCACAAAGCACCTCTAAATAGTGTAACCTCACTGAGAAAGTTATTGGCTGTCCTGTCTCCCCACCATAGGGAGCTATCTAAAGAGTGGACCTATCTCAATCACCTTGGTGCCCCAAGGACAAAGGTCCCTTAACTGAGCTCCTGGGTTTAGCTTTAGAGAATTCATGAGCCTCCTGAAATTACACACAAACTATTCATGTATTTCTGAAGAGAAGCTCAGTTTCAAGGGTCTTAAAAAGGTTTAGGTTCCAAAAAAAGTTCAAGAACTTCCCTAATGCGTAGCAAAGTCCTTGGCACGCAGAAGGTCCTCATTAAACATTTGCTAAATCTAAAGTGGGTGTGAAGAAGACCTTTCTGTGGGCAAAATGCTAAGATGACCAGCTGCGGCTCCAAGCTGAATACCGTTCTACCTGGGACCTCCCACCGAAGGCCCTAAAGATGAAACAGCCATCAATTTTCTCCCCTACGTTCCATCTAATTTCACTAGCATCCCTTCGATGCTCTGTTCAAAGATTCTGCTGATATCTCACTGAGATGGAAAACAACCCAACTACCTCTGTGAAGGAACCAAGCCCTTCTTAGAATGCAAAGGACATGGTCCAAGAACTACTGCATATAATAACTGTGTACCTCTCAGAAAACTGCTTTATTTCTCCTTGGCTCATTGTTTTCAAATGTAAAATGAGAATTATAAATCCCTATTCTGACCTGTTTCAACCTGGTTGTTGTGAAGATCTAATGCCACGAGATACAACCAACTGCAAACTTGTCTTACTTCTCTCTGCACTAGTCCAGCATCCAGCAAGAGGCCCTGGCCTCAGCAGGTCCTCAAATAATGGCATAGTAATCTGGATCACACATCATTAATTCCATTAACATGCCTCAGCCTTGGAGTTATTTGTTACCTCAGGTGTTGGGATGGAAGTGTATTCATGCCCCCAGTAGTAGTATTACTGGTTACTCCTTCCCAAGTGACTTTACAGCAAAACTCCAAATGTAAAACACTTTCAAGAGGGACGATTCTTAACAGAGTAAAAGGATTGCACAGAAAAGGTGGGAAGAGGGGAGTATGAACACTCACTCACTATAACATATTAGAAACCAAAAGAACCCAAATAACATGGCCAAACTTATTTTCTGAATCCAGCCAGATGAAATGTCTGAATGTTCATAGGCTCGAAGGGACCACTGAGATGATCTAGCTCAATATTTCCTGAAGTTTGAGCCACAGAATGTGATTTGGTTTTATGAAGTGACCTAACTCAAGGATATTTACAATGCATATCATATATGACAATGCACTAAGCATATTAAAGGCTCTGAGAAATCCTGCAGTAAAGAAACCCATTCACCTGAAGTGTATCTGTCTGTCGGCCCTCTTCCACAGAAGATCTACTAAGAGCCTGTAGACCATGGTGGGAAAAGCCAAACTAACCCAGTGTCATGCAGCCACTTGCAGGAGATTCAGATCTCCTAACGCTCCTTACAGAGTTCTTTCTATTAGAAATTCCAAATAAAAACCAGAGATGATGGGGCTCACAATCTGGAAAAGGACGAAGAAAAAGCTGCTAACGAGGCATCCTAATGGCTGGTGTAAAACAATAGCAAAGTGGTGGGGACACAGGCAACCTGGAGAGTCAGTGGCCCCAGCAAAGGGGCAAAGCTGCTTCTCAGTTCTTGCCAAATACTGCCATTGCAGATCTGGGAGTGGTGTGGCCAGATCTTTTCTTGAGAGGCTACGAATTTCCATTTTTATATGAAATCATTCTAGTTTCTAAGTGTTGGCACTATGGGGGTCAAACAAAGCACAACTGCAAGCCCCCCTGTGAGCCTGTGGCAGACCACAGGCCACCAGTTTTAAGAACACTGGTCTGAGCAAATCTGTAGCTACAAAGTAACTGGGACTGAAGAAACCAAAGTCTGATGATACACATGGCCTGTAAGATTTTAAAAGAAAGATTAAGTTTTAGCTTAAAACGAGAAAAACCAAAGAGGCACACAGTGGAACACATTGTTCATTTACCTACTTTTCAATACCAAATATGGAGCTCAGTACTTCCATTAAGGTGTGGTGACCCCAATGGGCTCAGTCAAATCACCAAAACCTTTAACAAGGACACGCTCTTTGCAGGGTACTCCACTGGGTACGATCAAAGCAAAGATACAGGAGCAACCCATAGGTTTTTTGCAGACGCTGGTTTTCAAGTGTTTGAGAAAGGTACAATGAATGTACGTGCAGAAGTCAGTCCCTTGTGATGACTTGGGCTACTCAACCAGTGGGCCTATGAGATAGCCTCAGTGGAGCAAACATACATCTACTGAGCATTCAGCACATTTGACTCTGTAATGGGTCAGAAACATCATATAATTAAGTAAACCAAGACAGTATCTCTCAGGGGGTACCCAATACCAATGACTTCCTTCTAGTGGTGGCTGCACATTCTTTTAAAGGAAGTTTAGTGTTTGTATACAGCATACATACAAAATCATCTGCTCAGGCTCAAAGTGTTAAACAGCAGCGCTGTTTTTGGAGGACTATGTAATTTATGAGGCCCCACAACAGCAACCTTTCCAAAAAAAGTGCTGTTAAAGAATAGGTTCAAGGCCTAATAATCTCTCAAAAGGTTACCTTCTATCAATTCTACAATGGGTTGGCCACAATCATTTGGGTGCAGAATGACCATGACACCCATCTCCATGAGGCACCCATCACACTGCATCTATGTGGATGGAATACTCTGGAGTTATGTGATATGGAGGCACTGACTGGGTCTAGATCAAAAAAGGAACTTAATAGTCCTAAAAAGCATCGGCAGTTTGGCAAGAGGAACATCTGTTTAGGTGATGACTGGCAGTCAGCTGGTCCAGCCTGTGAAAGGCTGCTGGGACTCTGTAATAGGCTGTGGTGCCAGTGTCCTGTTAACACACAAACTCATGCACTAACGAACAGATGCTACTAAACGACCAACAATGGGCTTTCTGGAATATTTTAATTTTTTAGAAAATAACTAAGCAAAACAGATTTGTATCTACTTATCCAGCATCTCCACGGGGTCCCCTTGTAACCTAGATGGACAGGGCAGAGATGCAGCACAGTCACAGAACAGGATGACCTATATGAGTCCACATCCCACTCGTAAGTGGGAAGGAGCCTGCCTTCTCTAAACAAGTTTAAGAAACAGTGTACCTCTGCTTATCTGCCAATGACTTGGAGAAACTGGGCATGATTTTTTATAACACCCAGCAGTTTTAGATTTTCGTCAGTGGGACTCAATCAGACCACATTTCTACACTGGTATTTGCCTCCAGAATGGCTGTACGACCTATTTGGCCAAAGACTATTAATATTAAGTCCATGGGACTTCACACTGCTGGGGAAATTTTTAAAGTTTACATGACTCTAGAGGAGAGGCTCCCTTTCAATCTAGGAAACAATGCTCAGTGTGAACTAAAAGCAACAACTGGTTCCCATTGTTGGAAAAAGAGTCCAGAAGATATACAAGGAGACCTCAAGATGCCAGGAGGGAGGCTTAGTGGATGAGGTGCTGGATTCCACATACTGGACTTAATACAAACTGCAGGTTAAAATCCCTGCAGGGTCAACGCAGACTCTCTTATGATCTTCTAGATAACAGCTTAGTGCTCTCTGACAAGCATGAGGATCTGACAGACTGTCACCAGTGTTTTTACAGGGACACAGAAGAGGGGGGGAAGCTTTGCAATCATTTAAGAAAGAAGTATACTTCATCTTTTATTTCCAGTTACTGGGAGGAAAATCACATCTCTGCAACACGCTGTGTTTATAACGGGGAAGTAGAACCATTACCATCCAGATGCCCAAGTAATACGAGAGCCTTTGAGGTAAGCTTTATGATATGCATGCAGTATTTCAGATTTCTAACATTCCATTTTTGCCCAATGCAAATCTATATATGTATATAAAAAAAACCTAAAATTACCCACAAACCTGTTTTCCTTAGTTTTTAAAGGCCATCAAATCCTTGGAGATAGTATCGCCCTCCAGCTGTTAACATTCAGAAGTAATACTCTTACAGCACTGTCTCCATTGGGCTTATAACTCTCCAGTCAATGGCGCATTTCAGAGCTGGGAACATTTCCAGTGAAGTTTTCTCTGCTAGCAGTAAACACCATTGCTTCAACAATCCACATTAGTTCAGCATTTAACAGAGGGTCTCTCTCCCTCTTGAGCAGGTTGTCCAAGAATACGAGTTCAACCAGTGGCTCAAGAGAAGTAGAAAGTCTTCTCAATGGTTCAAAATTCATTTTATGTTCAACTACAGGCCTTTTGCAAACTGAGGATCTGAGCTCTTTAGGACAGTGACTATACTTCTTCCTGGATACAGAAGGCCAACAAGATGATTGTCACACATCAGGACTGAGTCAAAGCCATTACACATTAGTAGCCAGTGAGAAACAAGGTTCAGGACCCTGTACTGTAGAGGAGAGCAGTGTAACACGCCGGCAAGCAGTGGTGGAAGGGGAGCAGGACGGCGTGTTCATCCATTACAGCCACTGGTTGGCTCTGAAGTCTAAGTAAGATGGATACTCACTACTGCACTGGTTGGTGCCTAGGCACTAAGTAACAAGTCATCAGAAAAAATTTTAGGTGGAACCACAGGTTTGGAAAGTTTCTGGGATCCAATATAATGTCTATAGGAGCATCAGTATTAACATGAAAAGTCAGTATCTGGGAAACAGGTAGGGTTCCCTCCCCTGGAATACTGGAAAGAGATGTAAAGACCATATCTTCAAGCGACCAAGTGGAGACCTTCTTCTAACACAATGAGTCCTGTGGCTTTCTGTTAGAAATCAAGCAGTGATTAGTTACAGCCCAACTTTTAACGTATCAGTTAGTACGCCTACAATTAAACAGGAAGAGATGATGAATATAGATCGAGGTGGTTTCACATGGACCCAGCAAGCAGTGGTGAAAGCTCACACCACCACCCTGGGAGAACCCTAACTTGCCTCCCAGGGACCCAGAGCAGCCCTGCCTGGGCCCTGGAGGGTATAGGGCTGGACGCAAGTCTCTGCTCTCTAAGCAGGAAGAAACTGTGTGGCCAGAGCAGGGGAGCGAGGGACTAAGAGCATGTTCCCAAGGGGCGTGGTGCTCAGGAGCCACTTCTGCTGCTGCATCCCACCACCTAAAGGTCACAGTGACAATAGGAGTGTATTGGGCTTACTAAGTGCTTGACAGAGTCCTCATTTTTATAAAGTAGCCACTGTTCTCATTACTGTGGGCCTGGAACTGTATCCATGGGGATAATGAAATAACAACGTAAAGCATGGAGAACAATGGCCACATGGTAAGGAACAAGAAATGTTCACTATTTTAACCTATTATTGAACAGTAATAATACAGCAAAGTACATGGGTCATTAAGCTTCTAGCTCATAGAATTTTCCATACTAAAATGCCTGTGTAACTAGCATCCAGAGAGAGAAACAGACTATTACCTGTACCCCCAGACGCCTGCCTCATGGCCCCTTCAGTCACTACCCACCTCCACCTCCCAAGGGTAACCTCCTAACTTCTAATATTAGCTAACATTAAAAAAAAAAATTGATTACTATCATCAACGATTTCCATTTCACAGATGAGGAAATTGAGGCTTAAATAAGTTAGAAAACTTGTCTAGTCACTAAGCTAGTAAGTGGTGGAATCATAACTTGAACTCATCTGTCTGAATCCGGTCTTAATAACCACTTCACTCTACAGCACTACGCACAGGGGTTTCACTGCAAGGCCCCCAGTGGAGGCCTGAAACTGCAGATAGTACCAAACCCCCAACACAGTACGTTTTCCCCTACACACACACACGCCTACAATACAGCTTAACTTACACACGAGGCACAGCAAGAGGTTACCACCACCACCAAGGAGCAAGTGTAACAGTACCCTGCGCTAAAAGCCACGTTAGCGTGGGCTCGCTCATGCTCACGGAATACCGCACTGTTCCACACTCACCCTTCTGTGACGATGGGGATGATAAAAGGCCGTAGTGGTGAGAGGACATGAGGGGAATGGCGTGGGTGCTCTGACGTAGCATGAGGCTACTACTGACCTTCTGATGATCATCTGCTTGTGCGGCTGACTGCGGGTAACTGAAACCGCAGAAAGGGGCCTACTGTACGGCCCCTGGGGATTTTGTGACCATCAAATGAGAGAACATATATGAAAAGTCCTTGCCTGGCACCCAGCACAATGTGGACTCGATAAACAGTAGCTATTGTTGTCATTAGAGATGGGGCCCTGGCTGATTCTGCCGTATTTACTGGCATTAACCAACACAAGGAATTCTATAAGCCAATCGAATAAGACACAGCTCTTCTTGGTAACTTTCCCAACAACTTTATGCCACCCACCTTTGGGGAGAATGACGTTTGTTTCTCTCACAAAGCACCTCTAAATAGTGTAACCTCACTGAGAAAGTTATTGGCTGTCCTGTCTCCCCACCATAGGGAGCTATCTAAAGAGTGGACCTATCTCAATCACCTTGGTGCCCCAAGGACAAAGGTCCCTTAACTGAGCTCCTGGGTTTAGCTTTAGAGAATTCATGAGCCTCCTGAAATTACACACAAACTATTCATGTATTTCTGAAGAGAAGCTCAGTTTCAAGGGTCTTAAAAAGGTTTAGGTTCCAAAAAAAGTTCAAGAACTTCCCTAATGCGTAGCAAAGTCCTTGGCACGCAGAAGGTCCTCATTAAACATTTGCTAAATCTAAAGTGGGTGTGAAGAAGACCTTTCTGTGGGCAAAATGCTAAGATGACCAGCTGCGGCTCCAAGCTGAATACCGTTCTACCTGGGACCTCCCACCGAAGGCCCTAAAGATGAAACAGCCATCAATTTTCTCCCCTACGTTCCATCTAATTTCACTAGCATCCCTTCGATGCTCTGTTCAAAGATTCTGCTGATATCTCACTGAGATGGAAAACAACCCAACTACCTCTGTGAAGGAACCAAGCCCTTCTTAGAATGCAAAGGACATGGTCCAAGAACTACTGCATATAATAACTGTGTACCTCTCAGAAAACTGCTTTATTTCTCCTTGGCTCATTGTTTTCAAATGTAAAATGAGAATTATAAATCCCTATTCTGACCTGTTTCAACCTGGTTGTTGTGAAGATCTAATGCCACGAGATACAACCAACTGCAAACTTGTCTTACTTCTCTCTGCACTAGTCCAGCATCCAGCAAGAGGCCCTGGCCTCAGCAGGTCCTCAAATAATGGCATAGTAATCTGGATCACACATCATTAATTCCATTAACATGCCTCAGCCTTGGAGTTATTTGTTACCTCAGGTGTTGGGATGGAAGTGTATTCATGCCCCCAGTAGTAGTATTACTGGTTACTCCTTCCCAAGTGACTTTACAGCAAAACTCCAAATGTAAAACACTTTCAAGAGGGACGATTCTTAACAGAGTAAAAGGATTGCACAGAAAAGGTGGGAAGAGGGGAGTATGAACACTCACTCACTATAACATATTAGAAACCAAAAGAACCCAAATAACATGGCCAAACTTATTTTCTGAATCCAGCCAGATGAAATGTCTGAATGTTCATAGGCTCGAAGGGACCACTGAGATGATCTAGCTCAATATTTCCTGAAGTTTGAGCCACAGAATGTGATTTGGTTTTATGAAGTGACCTAACTCAAGGATATTTACAATGCATATCATATATGACAATGCACTAAGCATATTAAAGGCTCTGAGAAATCCTGCAGTAAAGAAACCCATTCACCTGAAGTGTATCTGTCTGTCGGCCCTCTTCCACAGAAGATCTACTAAGAGCCTGTAGACCATGGTGGGAAAAGCCAAACTAACCCAGTGTCATGCAGCCACTTGCAGGAGATTCAGATCTCCTAACACTCCTTACAGAGTTCTTTCTATTAGAAATTCCAAATAAAAACCAGAGATGATGGGGCTCACAATCTGGAAAAGGACGAAGAAAAAGCTGCTAACGAGGCATCCTAATGGCTGGTGTAAAACAATAGCAAAGTGGTGGGGACACAGGCAACCTGGAGAGTCAGTGGCCCCAGCAAAGGGGCAAAGCTGCTTCTCAGTTCTTGCCAAATACTGCCATTGCAGATCTGGGAGTGGTGTGGCCAGATCTTTTCTTGAGAGGCTACGAATTTCCATTTTTATATGAAATCATTCTAGTTTCTAAGTGTTGGCACTATGGGGGTCAAACAAAGCACAACTGCAAGCCCCCCTGTGAGCCTGTGGCAGACCACAGGCCACCAGTTTTAAGAACACTGGTCTGAGCAAATCTGTAGCTACAAAGTAACTGGGACTGAAGAAACCAAAGTCTGATGATACACATGGCCTGTAAGATTTTAAAAGAAAGATTAAGTTTTAGCTTAAAACGAGAAAAACCAAAGAGGCACACAGTGGAACACATTGTTCATTTACCTACTTTTCAATACCAAATATGGAGCTCAGTACTTCCATTAAGGTGTGGTGACCCCAATGGGCTCAGTCAAATCACCAAAACCTTTAACAAGGACACGCTCTTTGCAGGGTACTCCACTGGGTACGATCAAAGCAAAGATACAGGAGCAACCCATAGGTTTTTTGCAGACGCTGGTTTTCAAGTGTTTGAGAAAGGTACAATGAATGTACGTGCAGAAGTCAGTCCCTTGTGATGACTTGGGCTACTCAACCAGTGGGCCTATGAGATAGCCTCAGTGGAGCAAACATACATCTACTGAGCATTCAGCACATTTGACTCTGTAATGGGTCAGAAACATCATATAATTAAGTAAACCAAGACAGTATCTCTCAGGGGGTACCCAATACCAATGACTTCCTTCTAGTGGTGGCTGCACATTCTTTTAAAGGAAGTTTAGTGTTTGTATACAGCATACATACAAAATCATCTGCTCAGGCTCAAAGTGTTAAACAGCAGCGCTGTTTTTGGAGGACTATGTAATTTATGAGGCCCCACAACAGCAACCTTTCCAAAAAAAGTGCTGTTAAAGAATAGGTTCAAGGCCTAATAATCTCTCAAAAGGTTACCTTCTATCAATTCTACAATGGGTTGGCCACAATCATTTGGGTGCAGAATGACCATGACACCCATCTCCATGAGGCACCCATCACACTGCATCTATGTGGATGGAATACTCTGGAGTTATGTGATATGGAGGCACTGACTGGGTCTAGATCAAAAAAGGAACTTAATAGTCCTAAAAAGCATCGGCAGTTTGGCAAGAGGAACATCTGTTTAGGTGATGACTGGCAGTCAGCTGGTCCAGCCTGTGAAAGGCTGCTGGGACTCTGTAATAGGCTGTGGTGCCAGTGTCCTGTTAACACACAAACTCATGCACTAACGAACAGATGCTACTAAACGACCAACAATGGGCTTTCTGGAATATTTTAATTTTTTAGAAAATAACTAAGCAAAACAGATTTGTATCTACTTATCCAGCATCTCCACGGGGTCCCCTTGTAACCTAGATGGACAGGGCAGAGATGCAGCACAGTCACAGAACAGGATGACCTATATGAGTCCACATCCCACTCGTAAGTGGGAAGGAGCCTGCCTTCTCTAAACAAGTTTAAGAAACAGTGTACCTCTGCTTATCTGCCAATGACTTGGAGAAACTGGGCATGATTTTTTATAACACCCAGCAGTTTTAGATTTTCGTCAGTGGGACTCAATCAGACCACATTTCTACACTGGTATTTGCCTCCAGAATGGCTGTACGACCTATTTGGCCAAAGACTATTAATATTAAGTCCATGGG